TTTTCTTTTATTATTGCGGTGCAACAATTCCTTTTTGGGAATTGCATCGGGGCTGCAAATGTCGGATGTATCCTCCTGACTTTCATCTTCACAATCTAGCATCACCTAGCAAGATCGCTGTTTAAACACCGTTATGTTCCAATTTGAAGCACCAATTCTTTTGGTTGATTCAGAATTTGGAGAACGGTTTTCGATTTTAGTTTTTGTAATTCATTTTTAATCCTGTCTTCTGTGACTGGTTTGAAAATTGAGCGCTTATAGCGAGGTTGTGAATATGTTGATACGGCGAATAAATTATTTTCTAGGAATGAAAATTTCGAAAAAAATTCTATTTTGAAAGTCGTGGCTGCCAGCAGAATTAGTTTAAAATCTTGTTATTTTGTTAAAAAGGTACCCCGTTTCTTATAATAATTTGAATTATGGATTCACGGATGATAAAGGTCTTAGATTTGCTTAGTTCCCGGGTGACTTCTGGGAAAGGTTCGCCTGTAATGAATACCTTGTAATTAGTTTCTTTTATTATGAGCTCGGCCTTTCCTTGCAGGCAGTCACAATTAATTACTCACCACTTTCGGTACCATAAGCCATCAAATCCGTTTTGTTGTTCCATTCCATGCGCTCAATGTGTTTTGATATATTTTTTGAGACGAATGAACGCAAATTTTCAGCATACATATGTATCAGGGACCGTAAATAATAGTTACTTTGTTCAACAGCTAAACTTGGCCAGATATTTTTAATTCGATAATAAAAGTCCTTTCCTAACAATAAACAAACCGCCTATCCAAATTTAACAAGTTTGGTATCAATTGAAAGAGGACTAAAATAGCTTTAAAACTGAAATATTTAAACGAGGGAAGCCAGCAGAAAGCCAGCTATTGGAAAATATTTAAATAAAAAATGTTATTTAATTACCATAGACAAAACTTTCCTTACCTACTATACCTGACGTATATGCATTTATTTTGTATTAAATTATAAAAAAAATATAAATAGAAGTGGTAGCCTTCGATAGTTGTTTCTGTTTAAAAGCTATTTATCCTCTTTTATTTGGTACCAAATTTATTTAATTTGAATAAGCGGTTTGATTACTATCCGGAAAGACTTTTATTTCGAACTTAAAAAATACCTGGCCAAGTTTAACTGTTGGGAAAAAATAACTGCTATTTACGGTCACTGATATGTATCGTTAATACTATTTCACATTGTCGCTGAAATGCAACAAACCACAACTAACTAAATTTTTGTATTGCCTAAAACGATGTAGGGACTTATGATTCGATGAAATGCATCATAATCAATCAAAAAGTTAATTTTGGATTTTTAGTTAGTTACGGCTTTATGTATTTCAGCAACGATGCGAGTTAAGCCCTTTCCATACTATACTAACATGGAAGTCCCACCCCTCAATAGATATAAAATTCACCTTGAATTAATTCTTATTTAATTTGTGATCTTGGCTGTCGACTTATTTACATATAATTTCATCTTTATTTCGATGCGTGATAATTTTGACAATTTATACAAAATTAAAATAAATGTTTTTGTTTTCAAGCTGAAAGACTAATAAAAGGAAACACGGAACTTAAGAAAAATAAGTTTTATGAGAAAAAAATAATTAAACTCTTTTAAGAAAAAGTAGAAAAATACTAGCGATGCATCCAGTTTTTTCAACAGACCTTTGACAAATAATATTCGATAGTTACATAATTCTTACCTTATTAAAGGCAATCTTTTAACGCGCAAATAGCCGACTCTCTTTATAGCCAGTCGTTGAACATTTCCGCTGGAAATACCTACTATTATCTTACTCTTTGACTTTAAATAACGAAAGAAGGTCGACGTATGGGACAGTCTTAACGTAGCATCTCCACAGGCAAAACAATTTTGGCTAAAATTTTTTGTTTGCCAGATATACGTTTTATCAGTGCACTTACACAATATTCGCATTTGCAAAAGATTCGCATTGATTATTGCGAATGCGAATGTTAAAATTTATGCGGAACTTCCGCGGTTGCGAATGCGAATGCGAATATTCGCCACAACCCTGGTACAAACGTGTATATTAATACCCAGTAGAAATTTTATGCATGCGACATCGCTGTTGGTGGCATGAGCTTGCTGCTGTGTATACATGCCAGTATAAATTAACCTTCATTTTCATTTAACAAGCGTGGTTTCTCAGAGCATATGCATACTCTAACCATACACTTGTACTACTGCTGTATGCATATGGCTGTATTAATGTTTCAAACATACAAAAATGCATTAATGGGAAAAGTATTAAAGCATTCTTACAAGATATGTATCCCCATATGTAAATGCCGCTTTTCGGACATACAAAAAAGGAGCATTAACATATCATCGTCTGGGTATAACATTGCCGTAAGCGTCATACGTACGTGCGTAACATACGACAATCTTTTACCCAGGCGACGATACGGAAATGCATATCTTGTAAAAGCCCGTTTTTTTGCTGAAAATAGTATCACACAACACTTAAAACAACAACAACGTACGTTCGCTTGCAGTTCGCTAGAGTTTGAATTCATTTGTGGAAATTCATGCCTACGCATGAATTGTTCACACTAATTCACTCATATAGCAAGCATTCTTCATGAATGCATACAACCGATTTCTACTGGGTACATATCAACATACATATATGCATAGGCATGTATGTACATTAGACTGCATCACTCCCCATACAAAAAAAAAATCGGTACTATTTTTCCATTGGAATCATAAAATCTATTATATTTTAAGACGTCCACCAATATATTTCAGAAAAATATTAAGATTTAAGTGAGCTGGACCGATTTGAAAATACCTCCAAAAATGGAGTTTTTTATGAATAAAAATAGTTTCTTAAAGATTTTTTTGAAAAAATCTCCTCAAATGACAAAACGGTTAAGCTTAAAATATTTGCATAAAAATATTAAAACAAATTTAAACAAATTCTTAACGGAATCGTAATGATGAGGTTTTTGATGCTGTTTTTTAACTTTTTTCAAAGATTGGTATAGGAAAAACTTGAATAACTGAACCTAAACTCTTCCGATTTAGACTTGAGAGGTGTCATTGGTAAGGTATTTTCTCACCCTTTTTATTTCTTTGCTAATAAACTCATTCAAAGGATGGAAGAGAAAGGTAGGATGAACGAACGTCATTCAAAGTTGAATTAAGATGTGTTGGTATTCGAAAAAACAAAATGGGACACGAACGACGTTATTTTGGCCAGAAATAAAAACAGTGTGAAAATACCTTTCTACTGAGATCCCATATGTCTAAATCAGAACATTTTTGAAACAGTTATTCAAGTTTTTCGTAAACTAATCTTTGAAAGAAGTAAAAAAAACAGCATCAAAAATCTCATTCTTACGATTCTGTCGAAAAGATTTTCCAATATTTTTATGCAGATTTTTTAAGCTTAATCTAATTTGTCATCTGAGCGGACTTTTTTCAAAAAGTTCTTTAAGAAACTATTTTTATTCATAAAAAACTTCATTTTTGGACGTATTTTCAAATCGGTCCAGCTCGCTTAAATCTTAATATTTTTCCACAATATTTTGGTGGACGTCTTAAAATATAATAAATTATGTAGTCCCGGCGGAAAAACCGCAAATTTTTTTGGTGATGCAGTCTAATGTACATGTATCTAGCATGAATGCTGCCGATTATTCTAAAAACATGTGAATCGCGCGTGCAAAGACCCCATTAGAAATGAATGGATCCCTTGCTGACGTAGCCGTGAAATGTCAAAAATTTAGGATTTAAAATTATCAAGAAAATAATATGGACTTTGTTAATTGCTGATCCTATATTGAATGAGACTATTTCCTGAAAGTACATTGATACATATGGACCTACAAAAACTTTATTGTTTGTATATATGTATGTAAATTGTTTGTAAATATTTTATGCATGCACAAGTGATTGACTTCAGACTATGTATCCTTACCGCAACACATATTCGTTTATGCAAACAAACAACTGTGCATATACATGTGTACATACACATATATAGCCGTATCAGGCATCGACGACCTCTCAAGCACTCGAGTAAGCAACACTCAATTCAGTCACAAGCTATGAGTACCGATTAAATTATCATTAAAACACCATAAGTTGGATGGGCCATTTTACTGGAACACAACATTGCTTATTTAACGATAATGAATTGATAAAGCTCACATCGAACAGATATTTCTGATGGAAAAGAAACAATTTACCCAAATACATATGTACATATGCACATTCATACCTACTCTTTATATGTAGAAATACATATGTATGTATGTATGTACTATGTACATAAGTGTGTTGTCGTTCCAATTAATATTAGTCATTTGCAAGTCTAATTGTGGAGAGCAATTTTTTAGTTATTTCTCAGTCAAAGAATTACATGTGCAACATGTTTTTCCCACAGCCCATAAAGATTATAAGAAGTAAAATTAAATATTGCTGCATAATTACACGATGCTATAAAAAAGTCACGAAATACACCCGAAACAAAACCTAATGCAGGTTGTAGCTACCCAGTAAAAAATTGGTAATCGCTTTTAGTGGTAACGTGTTCTAGAAGGCATAGCCTTCGAATATTTTCGCTTCTTTCAGGCATTGCCGGTAATGCAAAGTAGAATGTCCTAAAATATTTGTTTTATTTCGCTTATTTGTTTAATTTCGGGTAATGCAAAGTAGAACGCTGCATCGTTGTCAGCTGAAAAATAGAATGAATATCCAAAAATTCTTTCTACCGTTACTTTCTGTGGAAATTAGTCTCGCATAAAAATCATGTTTTGCTTTGTTCAATTTGCAGCGAAGTTGAAGTCGGTCATGGAAGTGAAGTACAAGAGTGAGGAAGTAAAATCTATATACCTAAATATATCTTTGATAAATCTTTTAAGACATTTTCTGATTTCAATTTAATATAAATAAGTATGTACTTATTTAGGCATTCTACATTAGTTTCTCTGTAAGGCATTCTTTGTTCGCTTCTCTGGATTCTGTTTAACAATAAGCTTCAACAGCAGTTCAGTCGTTTTTATGCAATGTCTTCGATTGAAAACATTTTTAAAAGCAATGAGTGTTTATATAATCAAAGCTCCGAGGGATATAGGCACACTCAAGCAAAACAAAGATTGTGGAATGAAATAGGAGACGCTCTGCAGAAAACGGGTGCGTACATGTGCTAAATAAATTCAGAATCATTACCAGCAAAATGAAAAAGTGTATGGAAAAAGTAAATTGACCGAATTTGGACGGGAATGTTTAGTTATTTGCCCAATGATTTCCGGTTAATGTGTCCAAATGGGTGATCCGATCCAAGAAAATTTTAACACGCTTATAGTCAAGGGAGTAAGCTTTATTTTAAAACCTAAATGTTTAATGTTCGGTAACTAATTTATTAATAAATTCAGTCTGCAATATGCACTTTTCTGTAAATGTGTGACGGGTACTGTTTAGCTATTTGCCCAATGATTTCCAGTTATTGTGTCCAAGTGGGTGATCCAATTCAAGAAAATTTTAACACGCTTTTAGTCAAGGGTGCAAGCTTTATTTTAACATGTCAACCCCTGTTACGTCTATATGTTTTTCTATATAATACGAATCTTTATTCTATTTATGTTACGTTATATTGTGATTTTTACTTACTCATTTTTTGTAGTGCTAAGACTACAAGGCATAACACAAAAATTCAACAATTTATGTTTGTACATATATACATACAGTTGTCCACGAAATAGTAGGAGTGCGATACTTTGACCACAATGCGATGCTTTGATTACAAACCTTATTACAAAAATTGAAATTTTGGTGAAATTTCGCATGATTTTTATTATTTGTCAACAAAGTTTGAAATGTTAATTTGTATGGTGTTTGTTGTACTACCAGCTGGACTTTTTTAAAAAAATAATAAACATTAAACAAACAAAAGAAAAATAGTCAAACCTGGTCAAAGTATTACACTCCTATTATTTCGGGGACAACTGTAAAGTAACAAAGTGTTAGATTTATAAAATAAGTTAAATTATTTACACAATAATGGTCCTGCCATTCCACCGCGCCAATACCATTGAAATACTTTTTTAAATTCTTCGCGTATCTGTGTTGATCTACTACCTCCTCGGGTATTATTTTGAGACAGTGGTACTAAATTGGGTTCTGGTAGAGGTAGTATATCACTGTTTGTAATTTGCGTTGGAAGGGGAATATTGGCCTCTCGTAAAATGTTATGCAATATACATAAACTAGTGATGAGGTTGTTGGTAACTTTTGGTGCGGTTGCGATTGGCTGGAAAAATATTCGGAAATATGCACACAATATTCCAAAAGCATTTTCCGTGGTTCTCCGTACTCGAGAAAGACGATAATTGAATACAGCTTTAGATTTATCAGATAGTGATAGCCTTCTAGGATATGGCTTCATCTCCGACAAACACACAAGGCACTACTGTTGTTCCGATACGAGTAACTACAAGTAATTACTCGATACTTCCTTCAAGTACTGAGTACTTTTTGTACTCGAATCCTTCCCCCAAGTACTTAGGTGGGTATCGAATTATCGATTAAATTATTACTTGCTTTCCAAAAATTCTGAATTACGGTTCTGACAATATATGAATCATACTGTTGTGGTTTTTGCACCACTTTAAGTTGGCTAATAAAGCTACTAGCCTTATCGTGGAGAAAATTTTCATGTCAGGCAGGATTGTATGAAATTGGGCCGATTTCGCTTATTTTTATTTTAAACGAAGAAGGGATTTTCTTCATAAAATGTTTGTTATAAATGTCTTAATTTTAAGTGTGAAGTTTTATTCGAAAACTTAGAAAATAAGAAATTGTTTCACTGTTAAGACTCTTAAGATGCGTTTGTGTTTGGATATAGTGCCAACAAACAGAATAAATATTACATGTAGATATTGTCTTCCCGGATAGCGCATATTCAATTCTGCCTAATTTAAAAAACATAACTTCTGCCCACTCCCTAAGGTTTAAGGTAATGGAAAAATTGATATTTTCAAGCACTATGTACACATATGTATTTTTTTAAACAAACGTTTTTGTTGAGAACTTATTCAAATTCCAAAAAACCGAATGCCAACTTAAATTAAAGGAACCAACACTGAAGTGAGTCAAAATGAAAATAAAAGAGCACAAATTTTTATGTAAAGCAAAACTCGCTGGGAATCCTACGAGACATCTGACGGTCATATGACCGGTCATCTAAATGGGAGATCTGCAGTCTTTTGGCATCATATTTTACATTAGAATTAAAGGGATTTCTGAAAAATCTGACCAGTTCTTTTGTGTAACTGTGATTTTGCATCCCTTGTCATCATATGGCCTCGCTTGATGTTAACTTAAGGTCATTGTTTTACTGCCTTAAAATTGAAGGGAAATTTTTACAGCGTGTTTTATGTGTATTGGTTTCTATTTGAGTGTATTGAGAATCGGTCAGTCTGAAAAGGCCTTGTAGGGAAGACAATAGGTTTGTTCGTCGAAAATCCAGCGAGAATTATCACTCAAAATATCAGATAGTAAATAATAGTAATAAATAGTTTTTTTTCGAGTACCTTTCAAATCATTGGAATTAACTAAATTAATTAAGTAAACAAGTATTAACTTATATTTTTCATTTTAAAATCGCTCCAGTTTGTAAATTTTTAAATTTAACGAACTTGTTTATTCAAATTATCGTCGACAAAAAATCCAACCATGTGCCACAATCATATCTTTTTCCTAATTGCAATTTCTTGCTGGCAAAATTTTTTCCGGCTCGAATTTGTAACTTCTCTCCAAGAAAAAGTCTTTTTACTCGTGATTTATTTAAATAAAACATGTGAAATTTAGTTGAAACATTTTAGCCGTTTTTAGCCGGTTTTATTTGCCAATTTAGCCGGTTCATCGAAAAAGTTCTGGCAACACTGCTTGTGGCTACTTTTTCGGTATGTTTTGGTCGGAGAGTACTCGAACCGATTCCGTTTTTCTTCACATGACATAAGTACTTACAATGAGTTCGATATGAGTAAGTATCGAGTACTTCTCTCCGATACATTTGTGGCATCGATACTTTTCTTCAATATTTTTAAAGAGTACAGGTATCGAGTACAAGGTCGTATCGGAACAACACTACAAGGCACAGCTTCTGTTGATTCAGGAAGAGGGTGAGGCGCTGGGAATTTGAATTCAATATTTTGTATTCTGCGACCAATGTTGCTTTTTAAATAAATTCCTGCCAAGAATAGTTTGAGATAAAAACTTTTCCTCAATAACTCGGTGTATTTAAAGTTACCTGCATCCCCCTCCCTGCCATGTGACCCAACATCTACTGCCAGAAATTTGCAATCTGCATCGACAATCGCCAACAAAACCATCGAATAATACTCCTTATAATTAAAAAACAAGGATCCACTGTTATTAGGTGATTTTTTTCGTATGTGTTTGCCGTCTATGGCTCCCACACAGTTGGGAAAATTCCACAGTGCCATAAATTTGTTTGCAGTTATCCGCATGAAATCTTCTGTTAGTTGTGGTAAAACGTCTAGCATATCCTTCACAATACTTTGTGAAACTTGCCTCACTATATGAGAAATACATGAATGAGATACCCTATATTGAAACGCCAAAGAACGGAATGATTCTCCAGTAGCAAGAAATCTGAAACAAAATATAAGTTGAAAATAAATCTGAAATCTGAAACAAAATATACCTAAGTTTAAAATAAAGCATATTTAGAGTTTTATTATCTTTATCATTTTAGGCTTGGTTTGCAGTAAGAGATGGACGTATGTTCACGATTACTACATAAGAAGAAGAGGTAAACCAGGTACTGTTCATCGAGTAAAGCAGCTAAAAGACGGTCCGTAAGCTTATCTTTTTTAGATAGCTGTCCTTCAGCAAAGAGATGATAGAGTTAAAAGTCTTGTAATATATTAACGTTCGTCTTATACGTTTTATATTGTCTTTAGTACTATCAGTAAAATTGGAGACCCGGGTGCCGATAGGAGTGTGGTGGAATACCTGTGTGAAGGAGAGCCTGGTTCAACTGATTTGCAATTTGAAGACTACAATACCTATGTCAGTACAAAAAATGAGAATTGAAATTGAACGATCTCCTTTCCCCAAGAGCAAATCCCAGTCGGTAAGGTCTAAGAACTCTGAAGAGCGTTTAAAACTTCTCCGAGAAATTGCGAAAAAAAAAACAATAATTCAATGCCAAAAATTATTAAAAAGGTGCCAC